ATCTATCTATCTATCTATCTATCTATCTATCTATCTATCTATCTATCAAATGTTGGGGAACAGGGACATTATGATGAGAAATTGTCTATAGGAACAAGACATTCAATTCAACCGTTATTTAAATAGGTTAGTATCATTGAGCTTCAAGAACTCATCTACAAGAAAGACCTGTTTTAAACAAAGAACACATAAGACAACAGTAGACAATCATAAAAAATGAAATAAAAACATATGGAATGAAAAATAAATTGAAGCAATGATAAAAAAAAAAAAAAAAAATCAAAAACAACTACATTATAAAGTGATGTGAAATACTAAAAAACAGGAACATGTCTGTATTGGCTTGTGCCATGAACTTAGCAGTTGTTTAAAACCCCAAATAGGTCAAGGTTGATATATCATGCATGGACAAGGGCAGAGAACTTAACACAGTTGGAATACAAGCAAGCAAGAGAAAGGAGGGAAGCAGATAGTTAGTGAGCGTTCAAGCTACGATACAGGATGAAACACATATAATTATGTTGTACATCAGGAGGAAAACCCCAATAATTAACAGATAAGTGAATATCTCAGGCCACAGCAGAAACTCAATGTGGAAGAGGCAGAATGAAAGGAGCCATCATGGATAGATATGCTCCTGCATTGCATCTACCACCAGCAGACTGAAGAAGTGGCTGATATCAAAAAAGCCTACCAGTGGATAAAAAGGGTTGGACTGAAGGACAGGACAGAGGCACTTATCATGGCAGCAAAAAATGCAGACCCTAAACACAAGTGCAATAGAGACCAGGGTCTGCCATACCAGACAAGACCCAAGATACAGCCTGTGCAAAAATGCCCCTGAGACAGTCCAACATATAATAGCAGGATGTAAGATACAGGCAGACCATGCATACATGGAACACCATAACCAAGCAGCTGGAATAATATGCGGGAACAACCGTGCCAAATATGGACAAGAGGTCCCACAGTCAAAGTAGGATAAGACACCAAAGGTGGTGGAGAATTAAGGGCTAAGGTACTGCAGAACTTACAGATCCAGACAGACAAACAGGTGATGGCTACCCAACCAGAAATCGGGGTGGTCAACAAGCGAGAAGAAAGCAGTGGTGATATACAGTATGTAACAACCGTAACAACCCCAAGTGTCTGTAACATCAGGAATAAGGAGCATGAATCCATCCATTCATTATCTTTACCCACTTCTTCCTTTCCGGATCACAGGGTTAACTGATGCCTATGTCCAGCAGTCACTGTAAGAGAGGCAGGGTACACCCTGGACAGGTCGTAAGTCAATCAAAGGGCTGCATATAGCCTCTGAGAGACTAAAGTGTCCTTTCCATGATGTCCATTTCACATCTTACAACTATGCCCAACCATTCTCTTATCCCATGCACCTGGTTCTTTTGCAGCCCTTTGGGTTTTCTCTGCTGTATATATCATGGGGAAACAAGCTTGCTTCACTCTGACCAGACTATTGCAAGATTTCATTATTTTGAGAATCTTAGTGGAGTTTCCAGCTTACCAGAGTTTTCAAAGTCTTTATAAGAGGCTGCCCAGGACTCTGACATCACCAACAGAGTATTCTCTATAATCTGGATGTCTGTGATCGGACAGTTGCACTGGGGATAGTCGTCGGCACATTGGCAAATGCACTGGTTGTTATGGCACGCATACTCCCCTTCTCCGTTGCACATAATGTAGCTCAGAGCTGACTGGACAAATTTCTCCTGCAGGTATTCTGGGAATATCACTTGAAGGCCTGCAAGACACAAGAATCAGATATTTTAGTAGAAGTAGCTTAAAGGATAAAGTAACAGTCTTTCAATGATTGATAGACATAAAGTACATAGGTACAAAATTAAAAACACACAAGGGAAAATAAAGTTGAGCATAAGTGGCAAAGTGTGGTCTGCAACTGAGACAGCTTTGTGTTCTCGGCAATCATTTATTTCTCTAAAGGATGTGCTTGAAAGCTCACCTCTTCTTAACTTGAGCTGTCTGTGGTGAGTTAGTTGTGAAGTGACAATGAATGGCAGTGATGGATGCCTGGTTTTCTGTGATATACTGTATTGGCTTATTTAACATACTTTTCTCCCTTTGAATGTAATATTTAAATATGTATTTTGCTGTTTTGCCATATGTTTAATTTTAGCTAATTGCACATTATCAAATTGTATTGTGCTTATTTTAGAGCTTTACAGTTAACTCTTTGATATTACTGTCAAGGCATTTACTTTTTTTTTTTTTTTTTTTTTTACTCCTAGCCAATCCATATCTCACCCCGGGGATCTTACAGAACTGAAACTTGGACATCTAACAGCACAGGTTTTCTCTTTAGTTCAGATTGGGGAAAATAAATCCCTGGCTCTACAAGCCACTGGATTGGAAAAAAAAAACTAAATAGATTTTTTTTTTCCCCTTCTTGTATAAAACAACATCTCGGAGAGGCCATATTTTTTAATAGGTTTTACTTGAGCACAAATAGTGCTTTGGCAGAAAATATGCAACCGGGGACCAGAACAAAACATGTTACTGAGTGATGAATAATTGCATTATTCTTCCTGCTCTCATATTATTTTCACCTTTGGGTGAAAGGCGGAATCCATTTATGCAAAGTCAACATAATGCAACCAAAATGAAAGGGAAAGTAAGCATATAATTTCATACTGTACACATGAATCACTTTCAGGATGTTGTCATGGAGTCAAATGATATCTCATTATGCATTTTCATGCAGCAATTAATCCTCCTTATTTTCACTCACATCAAACGCTCAACATAACTGTGGGTAATTTAGAACAGATGAAAGTCCTAATGATTTGGATCTTCAGCACAGCACAACTTCAACAGTCATCATTGTGATGACAGTTTTTAAAGCAATAAATTAATGCAATGTTTTAGTTATTCATGGAGCAAAGTTTTGTGTTTATTTTTTTCACATGTATAAAGACAGTCTTTGTTTGAAACATGTATTTAAATACATAGTTCTGATCATTTGAAGTGGAACTATGTGGAAAGGTTATAAACAATATGCCATATGTAGTATTTAGCTCCGTAACTGACACCGGTTAGAGAAACAGGGTTTAACTTTGACTGAACTGATGAGATAATGGGGCCAAGAGCAATGTTGATTGTCATATTAAAACAACTCAAATCTCAAAAAAAGTATCTGAAAGTAACACAGATGTTACATTAAAAACAATGAAATTGCTATTAAATTTAATTTAAATACCATAATATTTAAATATAACTGTTTTGTTTTGTTTATTTGCAAGGGCAAGTAGTAGCAGCAGTAGCAGCAGCAATAGTAATAACTTTAGTGGCACTTTTTGTAACGTCACAATATGTATGACAAAAAAAAAAAAAAAAGCAATAATAAATGTGTAGTTGTCTTGATGTTTATAAAATACTATTTGCATGAACCTTTATGAAATATTTTGCAATGTAGTGGTTTTAATACAGCAGAAGTCCACTATGGTCTTATTCCAGCTTGTCAATTATGTTCAATTCAATTCAATTCAGTTTATTTATATAGCGCCAAATCACAACAAAGTTGTCTCAGGGCACTTTACAGGAGACATTCACATACATAAAAAACAATTAGTAAAGTTCTCTATCTAAGGAATTCTGCTAAAATAAACTTTTTTTTTTTTTTTCCAAACTGAAGTAGTGCATAAAGCTTTATTTGATTAGTAAAACACTAAGTTAACATATTTGTTTCACAAAACTTCAGTTAAAACATGTGGGCTGTATCTGCCATCTGCCACCTAATACTTGCTGGAGACAGAATACTGTGGGCCAAAACCCTGTACAAGAGAACATGGAAGATGGATGGATGGATCCCCTTTAGGACCAAGGAGGGTATCACAATGTCTTACTATTTGAATGAGATGTTCAAATACTAGTATTAATATTAATGATATTAATATTTTGTTATCTACTTGGTTAAATAATAATAACCTCTGTTTTCCTCTGTGCCTCACATCAAACCCAGTGTCTACCTGTGATGAAGGGAACAGAAGGATTCAGGGATGAAGCAAGTACAGAGGATAGATAGATCATGTCTGACCACAAAAGACATGGGTTGCCCTGGGCTTTTTCTCCATCAGGCCTGTCTGGCTCCAATATTCATTTAGCTTGATGTATTCCTAGGCTTGAAACTTTAATGTGATTTGTGGGAAAATCCAGATGGTAAGTTCACGGATCAACGCTGCTCCCTGACAGTGCTGGTGCCAGCGGCCTCCTGCACAATAACACCAAGTGACTTGGGTCCCCCCCTACCCCTCATCTACCCTTTTCCATCTAACCATACTTTCAACCCTACTATCAACACATACACATATTTTATTGTTATTTTTTTTCTATCAGTGTGTTAGCACTGCAAGATTGCAGCAATAACCATTTCAGATTCTGACATTCAGCTTGCCTCTATCAGTCTTGCAATCTCTAGTTTTTCCACTTTCCCTTTTCTCTCAGCGTTCCTGTCCGTTCTCTTCTCATTCACATATCTCTGCCTCTTACGATGTCTCTGTACACATCTTCTACTGTCTTACTTCATTATACTCACTCCTACTCCCAACCACCATATCTGTGTGCCCCTTAACTCCACCCCATCATCCTTTGGCTCTCATTCACTCCATCAATCACTCTTTGCCACTCCCGTTTCGTCACCTCTTCTCCTCTCCTGAACATTCTCTTGCTGAGTATGCATGCAAGTAGTGGACATGTCAAGCCTTGTCTAGTCTTCCCACCCCAGCGCCAAAATTATGTCACACAATAAAAGTAAAATTGGTCAACATTTATTAGCACAATGTCAAATGAGCAAGAGAATTGGAGCCCGCAGGGCAAAAAACAAAAGGAGAAACCAATCAGAGATAAAAACATTTATCTTTGTGACTTACGAAACTTTGCTAGGTTAGTGCAATAACATGACAAAATTGGAAATGATCGGGTCATAAAACTAGTTTATATTGCTCTGAGGCAGGTATGAGTTGGGAAAAAGACTATATTTTGGAGTAGGAAATTACACTTACCATCATTTAGGAGGGGGTGATGAAATAAAAGGTACATATTGCAAAATCCACACAGCTATTTGATAACCTCTAATGTCATGCTCTGTCAGTGCAAACGGTTCCCTTTAATCCCTTTAAAATAATATATATATATATATATATATATATATATATATATATATATATATATTATTATTATATATTGGTCGACTCACATCTTTCTTTTAAGCTCCATGTGGAAAACTTGGTAAAGAAACTGAAAATTAAACTGGGTTTCTTTTTCAGAAACAGATCCTGTCTAACCCTGAATGCTAGAAAACGCCTTGTATCTGTGACTTTCCTTCCCTCAATTGATTTTGGTGATATTATTTACATGAACGCTCCTACAAGAACCCTGCAGATGTTGGATGCTGTCTATCATGGTGCACTAAGATTCATAACTGGCTGTGATTATCGTACCCACCACTGCACCCTGTATTCATTGGTTAACTGGACATCATTAACTTCACGCAGACTCTCTCACTGGTACATTTTCATCTTTAAATCACTTCTTGGTCTGCTGCCTTCATACATCTCCTCCTACATGTCTCTGCGTGAGTGCAGCTACGGAGTGCGCTCTCAGGACATTATTACCTGCAGTGTTCCCTCAGTGAGGACTGAACTAGGCAAAAGGGCCTTCTCCTACTCCGCTCCTGTTTCCTGGAATATCTTACAAAAAGATTTGAAGCTCTCGACCTTGACCTCTCTAAGTGGCTTTAAGAATCTGTTGGACTCCTGGCAGGG